CTTTACACAAAGGGATAAAACAGTCCAACCTATCAAAAACAGCACCACAAAAATCAGATTAGGAACACAAATTGAAATGGTTAGAATGAGTTACTGCAGGCTAACTCATGTTCACTCTAGGAATTCAATTCTGAGCGGTTTAGCCTTCCATCCTTCCGAAATGGGTAAAGGGAGGAGCCAGATTGTTGGGGGCAATATGCTGATTCTGTAAACTGCTTAGAGAGGGCTGTAAAGCACTATGAAGCGGTATATAAGTCTAAGTGCTATTGCTCTAGGAATGTATTTATTGGCTCCTTGCTGATGGAGTTCTGCTATGTCATTTCCTACTTTGAACCATTCTAATTTTGGATTTTATCTGTTCTATCATGTTTTTATAGTTCATAATCATATTATTAAAGTAAGGTAGTTAATATAGGGGAAAAGATTTTTTAATAAATGAAATATTCCATTGAAGCCAGCAATCTCTGATGTACTAATAAAACAAATTATTTCTAATTCATTTTCTTTTCTTCTAGAAACTAGTTCGTAAATTTGCCAAGAAAACTCAGAGCACTTGGTGTAATAAAATAACTGAACAAACAACTCATCTAATAATGAAAACAGGTGATTTTGAAAGACAAAAGTGAACTTTCTATTTGATTTATCTCCATAATTGATTGGGTGGATAGGTATACCTTTAGGATTATAAGATCTTAATTTAATAATATGCCCTGCTACTTATTATTCAGGATACTGTGGCAGCTTTCTTTGAGTTAATAGGTATTTAAATTGGGTGTATTGCAACAGTACAGTTTTGGCTAACTTGATGTTTTCCTCAAATATTCCTATAGCTCCTATATAGGTTGGGAATTCTAGGGTTTGCAATCCAATAAATATTAAAGTGAGGAAAAGTATTTTAGTGGATGAACCAGAATTCCTAATCTGTTTCTTTCCCTCTTTTGAATGTCAGAAGTGTGATTGCAAACATACCTATTTTTTCAGCTTCTAAAGTAATTACATGAAAGATGAAAGTGTCAAAAAGGAGAATTTAAAAAAAAAAAAACAATTGCAATTTTGTAGGTTTACTAAATCACATGATCTTTATAATATTACTCCAAGAGCTAATAAGATCATATGCTAACATAGAAGTCTTGTAAGATTTCAGTTGCTTTTCTCTTACTTCCTTTGGACAGTCTGTAATCTGTAGCTGCTTTTCAGCAATTTTGCAAACTTGGGCGGGCGGGGGCATCAAAAAAGCCACTGACCTTTCTTTGAAGGACTGCTTACTATTACTCTGCTTACTCTGTACTATTGCTGTTGGTGACTATAATATAGTTATTCTGTTCTTTTATCTACCATTAAAAAGATTCCATCCATTTGTATAAAGGAAGCTGAGCTTTTTTTGTAGTTTGTACTTTAAAATACAATTTGCAGTCTTTCATTTTATATTGTTTCAAACTGTTATCTTGACCAGGCTATGAAAAATATCATTTTAAAAGGAGATATGTAAAATAAATCAGTAAAGCTCTAGTCTCTGTAACTCTAGAAGCTGCTTTTGAAACTGGACATATTTTTGAAAGCAATTTCTGACATTGTGTGAAGACCTGCTGTAAATGAAATATTTAAAAAATAGTCCATGGTCTTTATTCATTTAATATTGAACACTCATTTTCCTCTCTCTCTTTAATCTTCAGATGAGGATCTGGTCTGTGAAAGAACCCTGAAATACTTTATAGGTGTTGCTGCACAAAAATGGGTATTGAGCTACCAGTGTAAGTGTGAATATTCAATTTCAAGAATTCAATTAAAAAGAAGACTTCCTTTCTGATGCACTGTGTATTTCAGTTTAGTGTTCAGACATACTCTTATTAGTAAACAGTTCATATCTAACATACAATAAATTATTGTAAGTTAGCTATGCAATTATATCTGACATTTTGCCCTAAACAAGGAACATTTCATCCAAATTCATCCTATAAAATAATATTAAACAATATAGGAAAATAAAGACAGTAATACCATATAGGATAGTTCCATAAATCCATAGGGTGTCAACTAGTCAAAAGAAAACATTTATCTTTAGTAAATGTCAAACACTGTGTAGAAAGACATTCACAATTTCTAGCTTAACTGATACCAAGGATAGTTCAAGCCTTTCTTTCTTAAGCAAAACCAGATAAAATGCTTGTAGATATTCAAAGTATATGCCATTACCATTCTTTGCATGACAAAGTGAAATGCACAAATATACAGAATCTTGCATGAGCTTTGAAGATCATGTATGAATTGTGGGCAAAGGACCTATGGAATTGTTAGAGGAAACTAATGCTATGGTGTGAATTTAGTTTGCATACATTTGATCTTTCAAATCCTTTTAGCTAAACTAAACAAAAATTAATTGTTCTGATACTCTGATACTAGATTTTCCCAAGTTTTATCTAGGGTCATGCTAATAAAGATAGATATATTTTTGTATTTTTCATTTTCATATTTCTTATACCATTCTCCTCTAAAAATTTCCTGGAATATGATTAAAGATGAGGGAAATTGTTATTGAAAATATGGGGACAAGAGAAGAAAAGAAAACCAAGCATTTAAGTGTCCTGCTTATTTCATATAATTTAATTTGATTGTTTCTGATTACCAGGCATGCTTTTTTTTTTCCTGTGACATTGTGATTTTATCTAAAGTTGCTCTTACAGGGAATGGCATCATCTCCCAAAGTTAACCATAAACTATTTCAGCACTGAAGTTGTTGTAGAGAATAAATTTTAAAATCTGTAAGAGATAGGGAGGTGAGGTTTCCAGCAGTACGTAGTAATACCGTTGGCAGGCACTATTATGTAAATATAGACTTACTCTTTTGCAACTCTCTATGCAATTTTCTGTTTTATGTTTAAAATAAATGTTACAGATGGTAAAAAGTGCTACTTTAAATAATAATAATAATAATAATAATAATAATAATAATAATAATATCTGCTTCCACTGGTCTAGGGATTATACATTCATTAGAAGCAGGAAGAGTTCATAAAGAGGTAGGTCTGGTGTTTATGGGATGGGAAGGTGGTTTTGGTTTTTTAATGTATATAATGCTTGCAGAATCCTTAAATGAGGAAGGTGGGAGAAATCCGTGATTAATTAGTATATCTTTTTATGCCATTTCTTTAAATGCTTAGTCTTATACATTTCTCACTATACAATTCTCACTATAATGTTGTGATAATAATTTAATGTATGTATAATACATTACAAACGTTAATCTAATAAATCTTCAAAAAGTATCTAGCATATTTTAAATATCTAAACCAAGAAAAGATGTTTTTGAGTATGTAAAGAATTTACTTGAAGATGAAAATCCTACAATTACAGTGGCAACATTTAACTATGGCTATAAAATTAAAGCTATCAATAATTAATTTTAAGTCTGTTATGTAATATTTGTTTACTTGTTGGACTGTTTTATCCAATACCAAGTTCAGATTATACTTGTAACTTGCTTTTGGGCCTTTGGGCTGTAAACAAAATTGATTGATTGATTGAATACTTAGTAGATTCTAATGACCAAGAAGAGAATAGACATGAAAAATAGAGAAATCCTTAGTATGTCTATGAATTGCCTCTTGAGAAGAGAACAGCAACTAACAACAGGGGAGGCCATTCTATAAGGATCAGAAACACAATTTCCTAACTTCAACTGGAGTTTCTTTTTCCTTTCTTCAGGCACTGCATCTGACATTTTGCCTGTGACATGCTAAAATGGAATCAAGCCACTGAAAGACATAGCATACATTCAAAAATTTAAAAATATAACTCAATAAATGTTCTGTTTCCCAAAGTAACAGACAAACTTAGGATAATTTGAATGGGTTGCCAAATTTTGTTGGATGAAAGAGGATATTGATATTTAGCTGGGATAATTGCTGGGATGCTATACAGGCTGGTGCCTATGTCTTCCTGGAGTTCCTGGATCACATTGGACAAACAAGATTATTTTTTTAAATGTATATCTTAGTCCCCTGCTCTCCTTTTTTTCCATTTCTCCACTCAACTAGAGTAGACTGTAAGCTTCAGAAAAATTTTCCTTCAGTCCTGCTTGAGCTGCCTCTTATATTGAAGAAAAAAGTTGAAAAGAGGAGAGGCCAGCAATTAGATGATGGATAGATTTTCTCCAAAAGTTTTTATGCTATAATTTTGATCCACAGTATATATAACATGTCCTAGCTAACTTGTGTGTTCAACCACCATCCTATCCTGCCATTGATCATATTGCTATATTATTACTGAAGATTTATATTCAAATTGCTATAGGGGATTTGCTTAATTATATAGAGGTTTTCACTTAAATAATTTAAATATCCTTTTTTAAACAATAAAATATGGAGTAGGAATTGTATTGCTGCAGTCATACATTTGTTCAACTGCTTCACTTTGGATATTTGACTTCTATGCGCCATAGTTCTTTTTCTGCTTCAGTTACATAAGATGCGGCTCAGCCAGAAATCTGTTGGCATGTAATTCTGTTTGTTTTGTTTTCAGGAAGATTTTGAAGTGAGAGGAGATGTAATCAATGGGAGAAACCACCAAGGACCTAAAAGAGCAAGAGAATCACCTGTTGGAAAGGTATGGCTTTTGTAAGTGGTACATCACAAAAGAAAAAGTTATCCTCAAAGTCTGCCCTTCTTCTTTGCCATAACAGAAAATGAAGAAGGTTGAGAAAAAAGGTTGCTTTCACAAAGTAGAATCCTGAGAAGGGGCTTTCATTTTTCTGTGATTATCCTTAGGAGAAACATAGAATGCAATTATGTTGGATATAAAATTGTCCAGATAGATAACACAGTCTTCCTGAATAATTTTTGCAGCAATGCTTACATCTACTAGCATTTCTTAGCCTACTCTGATTTTTTTTCCAGATTTCTTTAAGTGGAATGCTATTGTCCCAAATGAGGATGGAGATGGTGCGATTTCCTCTTAAAAATGACTTATTTTCTGAGCATTAGGATAATACATTCAGAAATTATAAGGAAGTGGACAGTTACAATTACAATTCAATGCCCTATTACCCCGTTGTCATAAATGAACAAAACTAATCCCCCCCCCCCCGCTGAAAAGGAGGGAGGCAAATTATAATGAGGAATCATTAGTGCAAGTAGTGTTGCAGAAGCAGTAGTGCTTGCGTCCTGCTATTTTGTTTTCATTATTTTGTCGGTCTCTATTCTTGGAATTCAAGGATTTGGAGTCTTGCCTCTGTTCCTGCATAGAAATGAATGCTGGATAGTATGTGGGTGGGAAGGAGGGGAGAGACAAGTTTAAGCTGGTCCTTTCTTTTCCCCAATCATTTTAATAGCCCCAAAGGATATTTCCAGATTCCCACTTGTCTTCTCTCTCAATAGGAAAGTCTCTTCCAAGCTAGATGCTTGATAGAAAGCTGGAAAGGTGAAATTGACGGAGCCAAGGCAACAGACATCAGCTACAGTAGTTGCCATTGGCTAAAAGTGGACAACACTAACCAGTAGTTACTTCAGCTTCTTTTCCAGTTCCATCGGATTAATTGTTTTCTTTCAGGTGGAGGATATAGATGTGTACAGTACTTAACTTTTCTTCCCTATGAATTTCTCTGGTTTTAAGAATTTTATTTCCCAAATTTCTTATTTCTCAGCCATTTCTGTACTCAGTACCTAACCATTTTTTTAAAAAGTTAGTTAACAATCTAAACTGTTCAGAAACCTCATATCAGATCTTTCTCCAGTCTCAACAAAATGTCTCATTGTCAGTCTTCTGCAGCTGACACATTCCATTGTCAATGAATGATATTCCTGAATGCAGTTTTTATTGTGTTCAAATCACATGAGTTGAACACATTCCGACCTAGCTGGTAACTTAAATCACACTGTTTGAGTTTAATTCTACACCATGCTTACATATTTGTATTCCTTTCCTTCCCAGCTTTTCCAAGGATTGGAGATTTGCTGCTATGGGCCATTCACTGACATGCTCCCAGGTAAGGGGATTGGGATTCTTGAAGTAAGTTCAGGAAATGAATCAAACTGAAGTCTCTTTACTCCCTGTTTTGGTTGTGTAAATAATTGAGTTCTGTCAAGAAATGATCCAACTTTTTGAGAAAAAGCTAACTAGCTTTAATAGCTTAATTTTCTTTGCTCACTCAGTGATATTTATCCTTTAGTAAGGCAAAATTTATGTCTGCAGAGACATTTCTGAATCTTGAATTTTTAGCTAGATTAAAGTACATACGTTTGCCGACTTCTGCATAATTTATTCTGCTCCTGATTGTCATTAACAGAGATGATCATTCTGGCTGTGTAGACAGTTATATCCATATTCTTTCTCAAATTATGATGTGGTTTGAATGTCTGTCTCCTAATCTTTATTGACCTATTTGATGAATAGTTCTTAAAATGCAAGTTGGAAGGATTGTATGCTGTCCTGATTAAATGCTATCTCTTCATCTTTTTTCTTAAAATTAAATAACAGTATCAGGAAGAAGGAATGCTTAGAAAATTTGCAAATGGCACAAAATATAGACTAGCTAATATCTGGAAAGACTGAAATAAAATTCAATATATCATCTTCATAATATTTAGCAACAACCTTGGAAAGGATGGTTTACAGCCAGTAAAGGATTTCCAACTGTTGCAACATGTCTCTACTATGATGATGTGATTGTGATCTGGGTGTTCGACAATCTATTTGCACTTATTAGCAGTTGCCAAGTGACCCAAAATCCACTGCTGGCCTCCTCAGAAAAGCAATTGGAAGCTAGCAGGGAAAATTGCCCACCCCTCTTAGGCACTCTGTGCTTCTTACTTGGGGCTCTGTCTACTTCAGAATCCATAAAATTCTTAATGACAATAACTGGGAGTGTTGGCATAGCAATCATTGTTGTTTTGTTTGATTAGACTGAGAGTCTAATCCTACCTATGGTCAGAAGTTGAGGAACTTGTAAAAGGTTGCATTTGGTGGTTAAATTTTGTGACCAATGCTAAGTTCCATTTTTACAGGATTCAGAAATATAGAATATGCAACTGAAGAATCCAAAAGAGATTTGATTGTAATGTCAGTAGTCATCAATTTGGGCTTAACATCTTATGGGGGAATAAAATACTTTGCCATTATATATAATGCATTTTGTTTATCTTTTGGGAATTCCTCAGAACATCTGGAATGGATTGTACAACTTGGTGGTGCCTCCCTTGTGAAGCAACCTCACTTATTTACACATGCAACAGTAAGCCTGATAACTATATAGGTTAATTTGAGAAAGATACCAACAATCAGCATTTCCCACCTTCCCTTTAATCTTTCAAGATGTTGGTAAATTTAGCTGGTTCTGCTTAGATAATCAGATCAATGGCTTATCTTGCCCTGTATTGCTACTAGAAATCCTCTCACCCAAGTCATTGCAAATAAACATAGATGCATACAGCTCTGTGGGATTGCAATATGTCACCCACTAAAAAGACTTGTGTACAGTACTCATTTCTTTTTAAGAGAAAATATGTTTGTGAATGAGTGGTAACATATCCGTGTATGGCATCTTTTAAACTACAGTGTGTTAACTTTTATATTCTGTCATGGCTTCCCCATGAGCATCACGTATCTCCTTTAACTTTTATTTTGTCATATAGAGTAATTGTTCGCTTGTGAAATCTTTATTTCTTCTGTGACTCCCCATCTGATTGCAGTATTATAGCAAAGATGAAGAATAGTATGCCTTAGCAGTACAAATTGTATATATGAAAGATACATTGATCCTATATGCCACTTTCCTTTTCCTTTTTGTCTTTTATCCTGTAATCATTTAGGACTCCATTGCTGTGATAGTTGTTCAGCCTGATGCATGGACCGAAGAAACCACCTGCCAAGGTGAGATGATAATACTGCTTGTGTCTCCCCAGTCGTAAAGGCTTTACAGAATGTCTGACTGATTTCTTACTTGGTATAATAAAATACTGCAGCAGACAAACATGTGAGGGAATAAAAAGTAATGGTTGGCTTTAATCATCAGACATGACGGTCATTACCCCCAACTTCTCTTCCCTAAGAAATTGGTAAAAGATATTACTGTTCTTCAACAGTAGCAGTGTTGGAAGGGACCTTGGAGATCATCTAGTCCAACCCCCTGTTCTCGCAGGAAACCTATGCTATTTCCAATAAATGGCTGTCCACTCTCTTCTTAAAAACCTCAGTGATGAATGGGGCACCCACAACTTCGAAAGGCAATTTGTTCCCCTGGTTAATTGTTTTCATGTTAGGATTATTATTATTATTATTTTGAAGTTTTAGGTTGCTTCTCTCCTTGGTTAGTTTCCATCCATTGTTTCTTTCCTGCTTACAGGTGCTTTGGTAAATAAGTTGCCCCCTCTTCTTTGTGGCAACTCTTCCAAGTATTGGAAGATTGCGATCATATCACTCTTGCCCTTCTTTGTCTTAGACTAGGTGTACCCAGTTCCTGGAATTGTTCTTCGTATGTTTTAGCTTTTAGGAGCCTAATAATTGTGTTGCTCTTCTCTGAACTCTTTTCAAAACTTCCATGTAATAAGGACTACATGTGGAATGCAGTTTGTCATCTAGTTACAAATCCATCAGGTGATGATATAATCTATTCCACATTTTTCTATTTTACCAAGAAGATTGTGAGCAACTTTTTCAAATGCCTTACTCAACTCCAAGTATACTATGCCCAGTGCATTTTGCTGGTCCACTAATTTAGTCACTTTGTCAAAAAATGAAACATTTGTTTGACATGATCTGTTTTTGACAAACCTGTGTTGACTACTACTTACAGCTTTGCTTGTTTTTAGTTATTTGCAGAACTGCTGCTTGATTGTCTTTTCCATGATCTTTTCGGGTCTTGATGTCAGGCTGATTGATCTATAGTTTTCTGGATCTGTTTTCTTTTTCTTCCTTTCTTAGCGATGGAACCACATCAGCTCTTTTCCAGTCTTCTGTTAGTTCTCCGGTTCTCCAGGATATTTGAAACATATGATTTACCGTCTCTTACAGGGAGAAAGATAGGGAGCAAGGAACTTGGAAGTGCCTGCCTCTCCCCTGAACTTTTTAGAACAGGAGTGTCAAACTCAAGGCCCGGGGGCCAGATCCAGCCCACAGGGTGCTTAGATCTGGTCCACAGGACCAGCCTGGAAACAGCAAAGGACCGGCCCATGGTGCCTGTGCCAGTGAAAACGGAGCTCAGTAGGCAGGCAGCCCTCCCAAGCTCTGTTTTCTCTTGCAGAGGGTTTCAGGAATCTGCCGCAGCCAAAAACAGAGCTCGGGAGCCCATTTTCATTGGCAGAGCGCTCTTGACAAGAGTGACATTGAGCTGGCCACACCCACCTTGGCCCCAAGGACAAACACAACCTTGATGCTGCCTTTAATGAAATCAAGTTTGACACCCCTGATTTAGAAGTTTGTCCAAACAGTAATAGAAATGAGAGTTTGTTGTCTTTCAGTCTTCCATATCTGCCTTTCGAAAATCAGAGAATGCAATTGAGTTGCATGAATAAAAAGCTTCTCTCTTATCTATACACATTATCTTGTAAAGGATGGTTACAATGACAATGGAAAACCTTATGATTTTCCATGCATAGGTTAAGGCATTTGAAATGTTGTTTATCAAAGTGGCTTAAAGAAGGAACTCTCAAGAAGAAGATACTGGCATCAAATGTTTCACTGCTTGTCTGGTATTTTACAGCGCTCCCGCTGCAATGCAGCACTCCTGTAGTTTCACGGGAGTGGGTGCTGGACAGTGTTGCCTGCTATCAATGCCAGCCGTTCAGCGACTACATCATTTCACAGGTATGATGGAATTAGTTCTTAGAATTATACCTGAATGTTTTTGCAGTAATTTTCTTTACAAAGAATGTGACATTATAAATATTTCAGTTGGCCTAAAATGCCCTTGCCTTTCACCAAAGGTAGAATTATATTGTTAAATATCAATTTTCAACACAATTGTTGCAGTGGATCACAAAATAATATGTTCATTATGTTGATGCAGATTATTTTACAATCCATTGTTGCCTTGTTTGGAAAGATTTCTTTCTTTCTTTCTTCATAATGTCTTTTAAATGTAATCATTTTCAAGAGTTAGATAGAACAAAGACTTTCGATTAGCTGGAAAGCAGCAGTTTGTCTGCTTGCTTCATGGGAGAGTGTTCAAAGAGGCAGTTATGCTGGATCATTGGCATAGCATACTAACTAGGAGCAAACCAGATTGGGGATGGCCCAAGGGACCTTGTGTGGAATCAAATATTTGTGTTTGATAACAAATGAGTCAGAAATGTAATATCTTAGAAATTCATTATCTGTCTAGCAATTTAAAAGCAAACTTGACTTGATTAGTACCACAATCATTGTAGTGAGTGTGGCTGGCCTTAAAAATGTATAGATTTTTTATACAGCGAAGAAACTGAAATGGGAACAATCTCACTTCTCCAGCTTGCATGACAGCAGATAGTAAGTGCTAAAAGAAGACACTGTCATTATCCTCTTTCATTCATCTGCCCATTTCAGAAAATTAAGGGGTTAGGTGCAGAAAAGGCAGATAATAATATTGTCCTCAGCAAGGACTCCCTCATTGGCTTCTCATTTCTTCCAGTAGTAAACGTGGGCTATCTCACAAGTATATTTTACTCCCTGTGCATGTATGCATATGTTGATTTCTTGAACACAAATATGACATTCTGTTTAATTAAGATTGGGAGTGGAGGGAGAGACAGATTGAGATTTTCTCTGGATGTGGCAAATCTTCTGTTAATTGATATAATTTGTTTTCTGCAAGCAAATATACTTATCTGAGTCCCTGAATCTAAGCCCAAATAGCCACTGGTGCTTTGTGCATGTTTTGTTTGGCTATGTTTTTATTTCATTAGCTATTCTAATAGGATATTTCTATTGATTAAGAAAGTCAGAGTATTTTACTATAAGCATCCGCCTTATATATAGGTAGTTCTCAATTTATGATTGTAATGGAGCCTGCCCATTATGATCACAGGTTGTAAGGATCGTTAAATGAGCTGCCCACATGATCACTCACCTAAGGATCTCAATCTTGCTCTCAAAGTTGCATTTGTTAAACAGCACAGGGTTCCCCATACCCACCCTGCAGGACTTTCCCAGTTCACATGTGGCCTTCCAGGGCCGCTTTCTGGGGCATCCCATGCTCTGTTTCCCAACCTGATGGATTCCCGCAGGGCTTAGGCCTACTTTCCACCCCACTGGGATACATACCCTCCTCCCCACCTGGCATCATGGCTTGGCAACTTATTTTTTTGTAAATCTCCTTTGAAAGCTGTTCAGCTGTGTAGCTTTTCTACATGAAGGCCATGTAGTGCTGTCTATATCTCTCTAGTGATTGCATTTGGAAAAGAGAACAGGCCAACCTGCCCCTCCGCCTTCCTATTCAATAAAGAATATCATGTACTGCTGTTCAGAAGTGGGTGCCATTTCAGAGCAGCCACAATTCCCCAAATGGTGCCCATGTCGGCAATGGTGTCACATGGCCCCTATGTATAAAGGCTATATATATAGCTGATGAGAGCTAAATAGCTTGAAATAGATCTATACTAGTCTCCCTTTATTTATTTATCAGCATAAATATAACATATATATATATATATAATATATATATATATATATATATATTTCACACACACACACACACACTTCTCTCTCACACACACACATACATAATAATGCTGCACTATTTAAAGGCGTGCTAATAAGACTTTCTTTTTTTTTACTAAAAGTTATCAAAGATTAATTTAACAACAGATTTTAAAATAATTCAGTGTTTAAAGCAAATGCTTATAACAATAAATAATGTGCATTGTCTTGCTTTGAGGCAGTAAATACTATAAGCAACATGGGAGGCAGAGTGTGGTAAGGCAAACTAGAGTCAGTGAAAAGAGCAGTAAAGTATGTAGGCAGATGCCGCCAGCCAATAAGTCTGGCCTTCAGGAGAAGCAAGAGGGTCAGTGTTGCTCATCAGAGTAATCATTGCCAAGAGTCCTAACTCCAAATGATTGTTCTTTTACTCTCTTATCTCCCTCTGTTCGCAGGAACCAACTTCCATGTCTGAATAATAAAGTGCTTGTAGTCTGAATAGGAGTACAGCTTTCAATGGGTTTCTCACCTACACTGATAAGTGAATTTTGGAAACTGGAGAAATATCCAGAAGCCTGATGAATTGTGACATCTTTCATGAGATTTCAAGTCCAGGAGCAATCTCTAATTTATGCATTTATTTTCTTTAATTTATCTATTGCTTGTCATGTCCTGTGCTTCCAAGTGGTGTACAAAAGCAGCATAGCTTTTGTACAGTTCAGTTATAGTTAAAAAGTAATAGTTGAAATAATATGTAGCCCACATTAAAGACTAGTAATAAGGCAGAAGACTACCAACTTGAAATGTTATCAAATAAAAAGTTTTCACAATTAGATTTGTGCATGTTTTATTTGTCGTTGGATATTTTTCTCAGACGACTGATTGCTTTGCAGTTTCTGTTTCCGTAGTGCCAAGCTCAAGCTCAGGGTCTAGTTTTTGCTTCTCGTTGAGATGCATGTGGTGTTGACTGAACGCGCTCTTCCCTTCCATGTTCTAGTCGCTGCTCAAGAAGAGATTAAAACTATCTTGAGGCAATTTATTAATATCACACACAAGGAGTGCCTCTTACAAGTTACTGCACGTGAAAGCATACTTTAAAACAATGTGGTTTTTAAATTATTGTGCTTTTGTCTATACAAATTCTAAGTTAACTAATCAGCTGAACTAAAGTTTTCTGGAAGTAAGTTCAGCAGAATGAATTAATCAGCTAAAAACCTTAACAAACCTAGGATTCAGAAAAATTGAGTGTACTGTATGTATGTGGAGGTTGAGCATCTGATTGGGAATTTGTAAGACTTGTACTATGAAAAATCTGATTTAAATTTCTTAAAATGTTTCATTCAGTTCACATTTTCCCAGAGGCTTCCTCAGTTTAAATCCCTATATTTAAATGTCCTTAATAGCTCTTATTCACTTTACTGACATTCCTAGACTATTTTGTAATACATATTGCAAGCACAACTATTCATAAAGTCTTTTATTAAGGCAGAAAAATATGATAAAAGTGGCCTTTTTAAAAATGTAAAATAGCATTTTCATTGACGACATGAAAACTAGATGCATCACTGCATGTTACATGCCTTCATAATGAGTAACTGGCTAATGAATGTTCACTAGCCAGCAGCATAATCCGTAGCCTGATTATATCAAAAGTGCCCCATCTATTGCCAGGAGTTTATGCAACAACTTTTTTTTTACTGTCAATTCAGCTTCGCCTTTTGATTGTCAGGTTTCTTATCTTCAACGTTCACCTTGGCTTCTGTTATCTGCTTCTGGAAGATTATAGCTATCTTTCAAAACATTGCCTAGATAATATGAGGAAATTGGCAACATGCCCCCATAGGAACTGCTCTGAATTATCTTTCAGTTTGGAAGGTGAACATAGATGCATAGCTATTGGAAAGGTAGGTGCAGTCAAGATGGTGAAGAAGAAAACATTCTTGCATGACATTTAAATTGGATTGGATTGGATTGAATTGATTAGACATAGAAGGAATTTGGTTTTGGTGCAGAAGTTCTCAGTATACATGCACAGCAACAGATTAATAATCATATTACCAATAAGAGGGAGTAATAAATATACGGATAATAATAATTAATAGTAATAAATAATAACTTGTAAATAAGGACTTTTCTACCATGCAGTCATATCGGTTTTTACCAGCTTGAGCAGGGGATTGGACTAGAAGACTTTCAAGGCCCCTTCCTTCTGAAAAATGCAACTTTTTCTCTTGCTCTTTAAAATAAGAATTTCTCCCTAGTTTCTTGTCCCGGTTCTTGGATGCAGGAATTTCCAGCACAGATCCATTTTCTACTATGCTTCTGGTGAGTTCAGTCTTGGGTTTTTTCCCCCCTTTTACCATAAGCCATAAAATGAAAATCTGTGGACCAATATAGAACTGTTATTCCTGGAGTCCCTGAAATCAGTTACAAACTACTAAAAATGGTGGTATAATTTGCTGTGTAGATTTTTACAAAATATATTATGGGATGTATAAAAAATAAATTCTGTTTCAGATATCATTTTCTTCTGATTATAAATATGTAGAAATATAATGTTTTTCTTGGATATTGAGAACATCTATGTTTCTTATTGTGGGACACAGTGGCTAAGACGCTGAGCTTGTCTATCAGAAAGGTTGGCAGTTCGGTGGTTTGAATCCCTGGCGCCGCATAACTGAGTGAGCTCCCGTTACTTGTCCCACTGTCTACCAACCTAGCAGTTTGAAAGCATGTAAAAATGCAAATAGAAAAATAGGAATCACCTTTGATTCCGTGTGCCTTCAGCATTTAGTCATGCCGGCCACATGACCATGGAGACATCTTTGGACAACGCTGGCTCTTCGGCTTTGAAACGGAGATGAGCACCGCCCCCTAGAGTCGTGAACACCTAGCACATATGTGCGAGGGGAACCTTTATTTTTATTTTTCTTATTTTGTACTAAAGTACATACATATGCCCTTTTGATTAAGTCTTCTTTGGCCACCATTATATGGCTTGTGTAAAATTAATATTGGTACCGATTAATTGAATACCTGTATCCCGCTTATGTGTGACAACTAGTGGAGCAAGCCTATTTTGGCAGCATATGTGAGGAATGGAGTGGCTAAAGTGCCCAAAAGGTTACAGGTATATCAAGATTCTATTCAGTACAGGTGAAACAAGATTAGGCAAGTACTTAGGAAGGTGTGGCTGCTTTTGAATAGCTCAACTTCATAGCTTTATTGACATCATTATACATTTAGCTCTGTTCTGCTCCTTTGTTGTCCCAAATAAAAGTTTGTTCTTATAGTGAAACTTGCTTTGCATGTTAGAAAGTTCTTCAGATTCTTCAAATCATCATCATGCAGATTCCTATAAAATTTAAATGCAGGTTCCTAATTAGCCTGTTATATAACACACCAACAATTGTATTTATTTTTTCTTGGTATAATAAATGGCAATCAGAATTATTTCAACTACATTTTCATATGGCATTTTTATAGCCCATACTCTTGGGTTTGAGTTCAGTAGCCCTTGTTTAGCAAAGGGACCAACAATTCAGTTGTGGGCACTAGGAGAAAAAAAATCACATGATTGCAACTTATGATTTTACATCTGCCTTCTGTGTTTACTGTGCTTCTTGAAAGCCTGGTGATTCATAACTCTGGGATGCTGTCACAGTCCTAAATGCAAAGATTGGTGAGCTGCTTTCAAGAGAATCATAAGCAAGCCAATATAAGAGATTTGGTTCTTACATTGAAATTTCAAGTTAAGTATCTGTGTTGCATGTTTAATATGGGAAATGAGCCAATTTGTCCAAACATCAAAACTTTTATTGTAATGGAAAGAAAAGAATGGAGAATCCCCACAGTTTAGGAGGAAGAAAACTTGCAAATATCAATTTGGCTATCATTAGAATAAACCAAAAAAATGTAGACATTTGGATTATCATGCTGAAAATTTTCTATCTCTGATAATGCAGATTGTTCTCTGGCATGATAACACTTTTGAATTTAAGTTACAGTTACTCTCGGTGGAGTAATTTCTTAGGATTTGAACCATTTTCTATGACTGCAGGAAAACTGAAATACAAACTTCTATGCATTCCTAGAATTCTCATTTTCTTCTTGTTGCTATCTTACTAAATGCTGATTTCTTGCCATTTTTAAGTGGAAATTCATACAAATTGAAGATTTAAAATAATTGTTTTAAAGCTCTTCTGCCAAAAAATAAAAATGAAATTTTTGCCCTGCCCAAATGTATGATACGTCTCTATCTACTTTGCAATAATTACTATTCTTTGGCAATTTTAATTTCTGCTAACATTACTAAATACAGTCCCTTCTGATCAAAAGGCTGCTCATCTCTGCTTTGGAAAGAGCCACCAAACGCTTTGGATTTAATTTGGCCTCTTGTTATTCCAACTGCAAATAAGAACTTGGGCAGTTTTGCCTCCTCACTCCTCTTTTGAATAAAATCAAAACATTTTTGATCTTTTACTCAAATTCTATGAGATTGAAACCTTGAATAACTCTTGGTAGGTGGTAGGGGAGGGCAGCATCTGGGTTTTAATGGCTTGGGAAACAAACAGGACTTTTTAAACAGGACTAAGTAGGCAGACCACTCCAGTATCACCATCAGACATAGAGATATACCAAAGCTAAGACTTCACCTTGTCATTTCTGGTGTTATTTTAAGAAGCTGTTTTCTTGAAAAAGTCATGAAGTTGCTATGGAGAAGTTCTTTTTACACCTGTAAAAGGTTGTTAGCATATCAGTCAGCTTCTTTAACTTCACTAGTATACCAATTTCTCACTTCCCCACCCTATGATATCTTTGCTTGCTGAATATATAACATGATATATTTCTTTGCCAAGTGCAAAAGGGCCTGAAGCAAAGACATAGGAGAGAAAGACTATCAATTGGAAATGACAAGATAATGATTTTCTGGAAAGGAAAGTATAGCCCTACAAAAACATTAGCCAAGGCCAACTCAGAACTTCCAGTAATCTTTCGACCTTTATTTGCCTTTTCATCAGATACCAAAAATTTAAGTTCTAAGGTTCTACACAGGCAGCACACACACCTTGCATTGAAAATACCAAGTCTGGCCATGTGCTATATTCATGGTTATTGTGTCTAGACACTCTTGGCTGAGACTGATTATTGGGATATATTACAAGTCAGAGCTTAGCCTAGAACCGTGATGGCGAACCTATGGCACGGGTGCCAGAAGGCACGTAGAGCCCTCTGTGGGAATGCACGCTGTCGCAAGCTCTTCTGGTTTTTAGCATGCTTTTGCACACTTGAACATCTCCAGCAGGTACCAGAGCTCCAGAAAATGGCCTGAGAATGTCCCCCAAAAGGCTCAAAAATGGCCAAAAAACAGGTATGTGCCACCAGCCAGCTGGTCTTCGGGTTTCCGGTATGCACATATGCATGCGCATGCACATGCATTCCGGTTTGGGCATTCGGTGCCAAAAAGGTTTGCCATCATGGCCTAGAATACATCTGATTAGCCTGATGGAGAATCTACGTGGGAGAACAATCCTCTTAATTTTCTTGGATATTTAAATTGTGTTTGATCCCATTGTCAATGGTAGTCTGAAATATTTGTATTTAATGAAGTAGTTATAGAGAATTTGCTGTATTTGTGTGGGAGATGCAATGTGATGTGCTACAGGCTCTGTTTGGGCTACCCATACTTTCATATGAAACCATAGAATGAGGTTATGATCGTTTCTATGATTGTTAGGTTCACAGCAGCCATTCTGTTTCTCTTCATATTCTACTGATGCACTAAAACAGCTCCCTGCTTTGCGGGTATATG